ACGCGGCCCGGCGATCTTCTCCTGCCGGGAAACCCGGAAACACGTGACCCCGATCCGACGCTCGTGTGTGTGCACGCGTTCACACGTAAGCGCGGAGTGTTCGCAGGGGTGCTCGAACGCGCGGACACATCCGCGCGAGTTAAGCCGCGCAAGATGGATGGTCCAGCCGGCGGTGGCCCCAGCCCGACCCCGAAACGTTTCACTCGCGCTTATGATATATGGTGACGCCCCTAAAAACTGGCAGACGTGTTTCCGCCCCTGCTCGAACGCGGCTCGCTCCGCGTTCCGCGGCGATCGCCGACACCGCGCACCTTTGCCACCTTGGCGCCCGGGATAAATCGACGTAGGACGCGAACAATGCTTGAGAGATTATACGCTCGGCCGGCGCCTAGCGTCGTCGCGCCGAAAAACCGCCGCCCGCCTTGTTCCGCGTGATATATGGCCCGCGTAGAGTTGTCGCGGACCGCAGTTTTTTCCGCGGCTTGTTCCTTCGAGGCTCTAGGAAAAAATTACCTATGCTCGCGAGGAGTTCCGGTCGTAAGATCGAATTTGTAGCGATCAGTGAGGTTAGCGGGAGGTTGATTGCGTTGAACATTGGGTGATTGTGATCCACAGGAATTCTCGAGGAGCAGTGAAATATATGATAGATCGTCGATGACATTGAAAATTTAATGAACGATTATCGACGCGTTAAGAGGTTCGCGCGAGGGTCAGCTCGTAGATCAGGTTACCGCGGAGGGAAGAAACGAATGTAGGAAATATTAATTGCGACAGAAGGTTCCGCGGTTCTCTTAACTACTTCCTTAATGCTTGGCCTCCAACCTCCGGCTAGAAAAGGATCACCACGAGGTAAACGAGGAGCCCCTCGTACCCTCCGCTGGCGCATGTGTTAGGATTCCAATTTAAAGCTGGCCACTTCTCGCCGATTCGTGGGAGAACCGAATGAATCCTCGATGAAGCGTTCCACCCCGAGGAAGATAGAACCATCCTCTTCCCTAGACCGACCGAAAACTAAATCGATAATAGACCCCGCTCCTCTTCCCATTCGCCGGACGATGAATTAATGGTATTAATCTCGATCGGGCCAGGCGATAGATCCTGCGAGAACCGAACGAGACCCGGAATCCGGCAGAATTCTTTCGACCCCCGGAGGATCCCCAACCCAACCCTCGACCGTGCGAATGTGCGCGAGCAAACGAGCCAAAGGAAGGATACAGAGGAGGACTCCTTTTTTTCAGAGCAACAGACCCGTAGGACCCCGCCGAGTGACGGCAGCGACACTGAAAATGGAGTTTTCACTTAAATTAACTCTCCTCAAAGGGCGGAATCCGCCTCGCGACTGCAGCTAGAGCCACCCCCGCTACGCCTTGTGACGCGCGCCTGCAGCGGACGTGACGCTCGAATTAGAGAGAAAAACGGGGAGGACAGAGGGCAAAGGGACGGCGGACACCGGCCGGTTCATTAATGTTTACCCGGATCTTTGATTTTCGCGCCGGCTCTCGCCGGAGTCCGGTTATTTCGCCCGTGACGACGCTTCGTTCGCCCCGCCATTGCTAACTTCGCGGGGAGACCGATAGCTTTAATTACTCCGCCGCTATTTTCGTCGTTATCAGACATCGGGGGCGAACTCTCAGTTTCTCGACAAGGGAGCATTAAAGGTATTAAAATTTATCGGATCAAAGATCCCGTTGCTGCGTCCCTCCCTTCCCTCCGCTCGCCCCCGTCGGGCGACTGCGCCGAGATGCTTTATTTATCATGTGGAAACTCCCCGTGCCGGCTTCCTGTCTCCGTGTCTCGCCGCGACCGGTGAAATTTCAAGGAAAATTTCATTTCAAAGACCGCGGCGCGGGGGTGGAGCGCGAGGAGGAAACCGCGTGAACGCTCGTAGGTATTTCGAGCACTGCTTTGATTGCGAGCGCTGCCAATTAACGCTGGGGTTGCGCCGTCGTCGCAGTCGTTATCGTCTACGTCGTTTCACGCGTGTACCCGCGTGCCCGCTAATCACGCCGGCGGCAGCCGGAGCCTCGACGTCGAAACGCACGGTGACGCCGGCGAGCTGCTCCGTCGACGGTCTCGCGACTTTAACGGGGGCGGATCGAGTCCGCGGCGACGATTTCTTAAAGATTCGCCTCCCGAGCCCGGGGGAACCGTGAAATTTTTATGAATGAAGCATTCGGAGGACGCGCCCCGTACGAGATCATGGAAACCAAGGGGAAATATTTCCTTGGGCGACGCTCTCTCGCTGGAATGCACACACGGTTCTTTCGAAATTCCACCGTATTGTGTTTCTTAGACACATTTCCGCGGTCGTAAAACCAGAAATGTATGTAGGCGGATGCACAACTTTATTCGTGTTCCCGCCGGATTACAAATGTTTGTTCAGCGCGTGTACACGTGACACAAACTTCTTCGCATTTTCCTTTCCTTATTTTTCTCATTACGAATCCATATTTCGTCGACTCCGATGGCCGACTCCGCGACCTGCGACCGCAAGCTTTCCCTCTGAACTTGCAGAGTTATCCTTTTATTTGGTTCATCTTCTCCTTGACACTAGGTTTACAGGTATCTATTGCACAGTTTATTCTGCTAGAATTGATGTTCGTTCATTTAACTCTTGGATAGTACAAGTTTAACACTAGAACTACCATACCAGTCAAAATGTTTTGATCTTTTTATTTCGCAATTACTAATATCTTAAAAGCATTCAATAATTTAAATGATCTTGAAAATAGTTTCATTTGAATACTATAATGAATTTCTAGTAATCTATTGTTACAATTTTTATATGGATTACATATTAATCGTATTAAATGCTCGGTAGTTCTAATATTAAAAATAGACGATTAATTGAGAAACCGCTTTCCATATACCTCTAGTATTGACAAAGTCTGAAAATGTATTATTAACCATAATCACATAATTAAATCAATCAAAATCGACCCAAACATTTAGCAAATAATGTTCATAAAATTTAGTATGAGTCAAATTGACTCGTTCCGTAGATCTAGTGTTAAGGGTTGAAGTACCTAGAGCCTAGTTTCCAAAAACGCAACGCGCAGAATGGGAGCGCGGAAAAGCGAAGGTGATAAAGAAGAAAGAGCATTGGTTTTACTTTCGAAATTGATTTTCTTGGTACCGTCGCTGGTTCGCAAGCTGCCACCTTAAACGTGGCGAGGATGAGGATGAACCGGGCTCGAGGACGAGAGGATTATACCGTCCCAGTGCGGCGAGGATGTAGGACGAGCCTAGGGAGCCCGGCGCCCAGCCGGGTCTGGGGTTAACCAACATTTACATAGGCGCGAGCGTAGACTGAATAACAATGCTTGAAACGGAGCTAAAACCAGCCGGGCCGTCCCGTCGAGACGGCACGTTCGTCATCCTTCCGTTCATGCGAGTCCATCCGACGGAGCGCTCGAATTGCGCCCTGTGTATCGAACTTCCCCGTGGAAAATCAGGTCGGATGAAGGGAGCTTAGCTAATTGAACAGCGCCGGAGTTTCGGGCTCGAGTTATAACACCTTATGACGGTTCATTTTGATACGCCCAAGACCCACGAGTTTATAATTCGCGACGAACTGTTTGAGCGGGTCGTTGGAATGAGAATCGGTAATGATCTCGGGATTGTTTTGGATTATAAGGGATGTTCTTCACCCTTGATTGGGATCAAGTGAGAAAAGGAATTATTGTATTTTTGAAATGACTGGATAGTTCTGAGGCTAGTTTTAATAGGAGATAATGTAATGATGGAAATAGCGTCATTGGGATGATCCAGTAGGTAAAATAAGTGACGGATGAAACGAAGTAGGCAGTGAGCGTATGAACGGTTGTTCAACGAAGACTTAATTAATTCGATAAGGGGTAGAGTAAGTGAATTGTATTAAAGTGTTCTTACTTTATTATATCACAATAGATTTTATTTTTCATATAGTTGGAGACAGGCATTTATGATATACTATACAGAGTAATGTCTAGAGCTCGAGTTTCTTTCTGGGATCACACGCACCATACTTCTTATGCCATTTTATTTACTATAGCTAAGTGCAACGAATGCAACTGACTCGTCCATTTGTCGAGGGCATTGTAACGCGCTGCGCACACTGACTTTTTATCCAGCTCGAGGACTTGGTTCACCTGTTGATGATGTTACGCAATACCCAGTTAGAGAATACGGAAGTATAGTGTCCACGCGTGACGCATATTCAACTGTATTACCTGGTCGATACGGCCGCGGATTGTATTATCCAAAATACAAGACACTAAAAGGCTTTCAACTTCCGACACGTCGATATTTAACTCTTTGCTTATAAAAGGGATATAAATTCTAGTGTAAGGTTTTATTAATTTAATCAGGACCTGTAGAAATAAGTGAACAGACATTATATCTGAACGTCTGGGTGTTATTCGGGACAACTTCTCTGCATGCTAAACGTACCTGAGTGCGTATGTTACGTAACAAGTCTTCAATGTGCTCTCTTATAAAAGGATCATCCATTATATTATTTCTATTTTGTTTTAAAATTAATTCGAACTGGTTGATATCATTATTTTGATAACTGACTACTAAATTCGTCATTGCTAAGATCTCTGGGTCATTTTTGTATGGCTTTGCCTCTTGAGAGTCAAACGGGTTAATTCCAGATTTCATTAGCCTGTTTTCAAACGTAATGTTTCGGTAACAATTAGTTCTATTAATATCCTAATAAACGTTGTTTGCCGCTTATTGATTAGCTACTCACATATTTGCTAAAACTAAATACTTTAAACATGTTGTACGTCTAGGTGAACCAGACTCATCGTAATTTTTAAAGGCTTCAAAGAAGTCTGTGTGCGCTCTTTCAAATTCACCCTCTCTCAAGTGCATTTTCCCACCGCATTCTTTTAAAAATGTAAATTGTAATTTTATTATATCTATGTTTGAATATTGTTAATAAGAATTCTGTTTACCATACCTCTAATCACTCCCATTATTAAGGGATGTGGTATTGCACTTTTAATGTGTAAGCTCTGCTCATACAATGTTTTTAACTTTTTGTTGTTCTTTTGTGCAGTGTACATTTGTATTTCTAGGGCATAAATCTCTAACAACTGTGTCCCCTTCTTCAGATCGTCCTCCCCATCGTCAGTCTAATGAAACATATGTGTAAGCACCAGCAATTTAACCATATAATCACACACAACTCACCTGACAACTCTGATGAAGCTGTTTTAATATTTTTGCTAATTTATTAAAATCTGACCGATCAAAGTACAACTTTCCCAATTTTGTGTTCGTTTTAAACCATAACCTGTCGTTCTTGGCATCTTTTAACGCGTCTAAAGTAGTCTCATAGAAATCTTGTAATAGTTCCATCTGTAAGATGTTAAATAACAAGGGGTCCTAAATATTTGGGAAGTATATTCAATTATAGTTTCCACTTTTAAGCACTCACATTCTTTGATGTACTAATATAGTCCAATATGGAATTTATAGACTTTTCTGAATGGTTTCTTGTAACTGCACTTTTAATATATGTTAATAACTGTTTGTACCTGGCCATCATTTCCTTATAATTAGCCTAGGAAAGTAAAGAGATATAATTTATGAACATACTCTTACGTGGTAATAATTTGAGTAACCTACCAATTTAAAATTAATTTTTATCATCTGTTTTAAAGCTTTGAATCCCCATTCTCCCTTCTCACCACCCTCCAAATCCAAAACTTTCTGAAAACTTTGTAATGCTGCCTTTGGATCATCCTCCTTCAATGCTTTGCTATTATAATATTGATTTTCTAAGTCAACATCTGGTTCTGAATTCGAGTCTTCAGAATATTCCTAAAATTAGTATGTAAAAGACATTATATTGTATTGTTCTTATTTCAGAATAACCTAATATAGCAACAGAGCAAAGGACAAATGAAAAGTGTCCTAAATCATCAATATAACCTAAACGAAATTCAAATGCCATTTAATTGCTGTATGTATCTATTATTTTTAAAAAAGAACTTGCCATAAACATAATCCTTCATCACTCAAAAATTATGAAATAGCTTTGAAACTATTTTTAAATTCCATACATGTCAAAATGAAAATTCTAACCTATACCTTGACCGGAACGTTTATGAACATAACAGCGTTTCTGCTGCGAAAAAGTGAATACTCACGAGACCATAATCTTCTTCTTCTTCGCACATAAAATCATCCTCGCCATCTGACATTTTCAGAAATACTTAAAGACTTCGAATATTAGAAATAAAAAATTCACGCTACCCTGTTGACAACCGCAAGATCGAACCAGTTTGTATTTTGAAATTCACATGCGTGCACTAACCCTATACATGTGCAGTGCTGTGTGCAACTTGCATCACCTAAAAGATATTTTGTCAATATGGTTCTATTATTCCACAATATTTTCGATGAAATGCCTATAATTGTCAAATAATTACTATTTTAAGCTTACCTATGTGAAAACGAATAAATCAATTTTACTTAAACTCTTTTTATCTTTGGTGAAAGGTAAAGAAAAATAATCATGACGTTGGCCTGCTGATTTGTCAAGTTCTACCTAATTTCACTCTCTGCTGTATGTTTTTGTCGGTGTGCTAGGTTATGTTTCTCGATTCAAAATGGTTAATAGTAACGAGATATCAAACGAAAATGAACCAATACTTTATGAATTGCTTGAATATTTTGTTCGGAAACAGGAACCGGAATTAATTGTAAGTTTGAATTGTCTTTTAACAAAATAAAAAACATTACATTAGCCACGATTTATATCCGAGATTATATTATCATGCATTTTATAAAATAATCTCCGTTTTAGAAATGCAAAAACGATGCTATAATATTACCAACAACTGGAACAATTAAAAATGCACTTAGGTATTTGAATAATAGGTACAGCCTACCAGAAAGCATATCACAACAAAATAATCTCACTTTACCATGGAAATTTGCAATTGGGGATTCTGGTAGACTACTTGCTATTTTACAAGAAAATGTCATAGAAATTCGAAAAGCAAAAGATGAGTACTCATCGGTTGTTGGAAAAGCATCTGGTAAGTAAAAATTCTTTCATATTCATGTTTATAATAAATTAATATTACAAATATAACGTATAATAGTATTACTTATAATTTTGTTTTTGAATTTAGTTCCAAAAGATGCTTTTCCACACTGGCGCAAATTATCTTGGAGTCCAGATGGAACACTTTTAGTATTAGCATCTAGTAATGGTTACACTTCTTTTTATAATGCTTTGGGGAACAATATTTTTAACATAAGTCCAAAAACATTTTCTCAAAATCCTCAGATTTTAGAAGCTGGTGATGCAATAGTTTCTATGATATTTCTTAAGCCCAGGACAAAATCTGAAAGATGGCTGTATGAGTTTATGTTAATTACATACAGCGGTCTACTCAAATGTTACCATGTTTCATTGAACAATGGATACGAAGCAAATTATGAATTTTCTTTTGGTAATTTTTATAAAAATGGTGTCAATGCAGTTGCTTATGATCAGACACATTGCATATTCTATGTTGCTGGAAATACTACTACTCAAAAATTAATGGTAACTAATTTACTACTATATATATTACTATATAAATACTAAATTGAGTAAAATAGTATAGTGTATTATATCATGTATCATAGTCAACAGCTTCGGAGAGTGGTTTAACATCTTGGAGACCCTTAAATGATTATCCCTACTTCAAATTATCATTTGCTTTCGACAATGAATCAACAACTAAGTCAAGATTTTCTATATGGAACATTATTCCCTCATTGAATTTTCAACCAGAATCTATTATATTCAAAATAAAAATTTCTCCAAATAGTCAATTTTTAACATGCTTGCATACCGATGGTTCTATATCCTTGTGGGCATTACCAAATTTAATATTACAAAAGAAATGGAAATTAACAGAGCAACCAGATTTTAATATACCTAATCCATTGGGACCTGCAAAGTTAAAAAAATTTCCACCAGGTTTTACAGAATTTCAACCATTAGATATTGGTTGGTGGTCTGATCAGGTAATATCATTCTTCTTGTGACTTAGGTACTAAGACTTACATTATTGTGTATGTTTAATTCTTTCATGTTACTTATATTTTTGTAGGCACTTATAATTGCAAGATATGCTGGGTCTACTTCTGTATGTGCTACTACAAATTTGAAGAATCTTTTAGGAATGAGCCCAGAATTTCTAGCTGGGCAACCACAAATATGTGAACTTGGTTCAGAACGTGGTTTTTTATGTTTGGATTGTGAAACTTTTATAACCAGTAAAAAACGAAACAGAGAATCTAATGTAGAGGGTCAAATATCAGGTTTGTACACTGAACATAATAATATAATTTTCACGTGTCTAATGAAAAGTATGATTTATTTAATTTTCTAGAGGCTTCGTCAGAAAGTGAGGATGAAGATGATGAGTTAGAACCAGTCAGCATATTGAATTATACCACGAATTTAATGCAAACTACTTTGTACTCTATAACAGATATTGAAAGATTTCAACCAAAAAGAAAAAAATCGAAAATATTATTTAGAACATACAGGATGCTTGGTTTGAAGAGTACAACGCCTGAAGAACTGTATTCAAGAAAAATTGATATAGAAGTAGGAGTATTTACTTACAAGAATACTTTGAAATGAACTAAGTAAAAATTTGTAATTTGTTATAGGAATATGAAGAAGCTTTGGCTTTAGCTAATAAATACAACTTAGATACTGATCTAGTTTATCAAACACAATGGCGGAAATCAAAATTATCTTTGAGTGCTATCCAAGAACATTTAAGTAAAGTTACCAAAAGATCTTGGGTCTTACATGAATGTATAACACGGGTTCCGGATACTATTGAGGCAGCAAGAGAATTATTGAATTTTGGATTAAAAGGTGCCAACTTAGAAACACTGATAGCAATAGGAACATGTGATAATGGGAAATTTGTAACAGACAATACAGATGAAGACTGGAGTGACATGGATGAAGTTAGTGTAAGTTTACGACAGGTAAGCTGTTTCTATCCAGCAACATTCAAAATGTAATGTGCAGAATAAAATGTTAAATCTGTTTACTCATTTTGCTAAATATTTATGAATGTATAGATACAAAAGACAAATGAATTGCTCGATAAGATTGACCTCAATCATTTATCCGATGCTCAGATTGATTTAATTAAATATAGAAGAAAGCTTCTAGATCATTTGGACAAATTACTCACGTACGAAGTTATTTTGGGATCTTCGTTAAAATATGATAAAGACTTTTACGAAGAATTTCGACAACTTTCAGCGCTTGAAAATGCGATTAGGTACCAACAAAATAATACAAATTATTTAGGATATAATAGGAGTTTTTATATGCCTATTGTGATTACTTCGTTAAGCGCAGATTTGCCAAAGATGGTGATTGCCAAGGGGTTGAAATTATGTTCACTTATTATGGAGAAAATTTGCTACCTCACTGGCTAGCAATCATCAGTTTCTTTCCAGAAACATTAAATCCATTGAAATATATGAAGCTTCTACCAAAATGCGATACTGATGGCCAATTGTTTTTGCTTGATCAACGAGAATTGCGACAAAAGGATTGGTCCGAGAAGACTGAAATTAACAAAGTAATTAATTTTGAAAATGACGATAAATCGGAACTTCTTTATGAATCTGACCCTTCGTTATCCATATATAGGTAAATTAAAATTGAATTCCTTCGCTTCGTTTACTTGTTACTTTTTATGCAATTTAATACTTTTATTTCAGAAATACCTTGCTTACCCCGGAGTTGTTACAAAAATGGTACGAATCGAGAGCCTATCAAATTGAGAGAAATAGTTATATGGTTGACAATGCTTTGCAATTAATCAAAATTGCGAAATCACATAACATAAACGATTTAGAAAATTTACTGTTAGATTTAGAAACATTAGACGACTTAATTTACAAAATTTATATAGAAGATCTGTCTTTGGACCAATTACAAAAGTTATCCAATTTAGAGAAAATTAAATTGTTAATGAGCACAACCGCAGAGAAAAGTTTTGTTGACGATGTCAAGAGTTTTGTACTTCCATTTATAAAAAGAAGACATCACTATTTGGTATGTGCAGGTATTACAATGGAGAACGAATCATAATTTAAAGATAAGTTACCAAATTATACATTTTATAGGACGGAGAACTGCAGAGGCATTTGCTTAGTGATTATTTAATATGCATTAGTAAAGAAAATCTAAAATTATCTGTAAAATTCTTCGAATATTTGAAGACGTCACAAGATAATGAAATTCTGCAAATGATAGAGGACATTGCCACTTTGGCACTGGATTGCTTATATGCCTGCAACGATCCAAATATGTACGAAAAAGCTACTTGTATCGTTGATTCCATTGCAAAAAATCGAGATGGAAAGAGAAGTAGTGGAATAAGCTCGTTGCTCGAAGAACTAGATAGAGAACTCGAGTGTACAAGGATTTTAAATAGATACGGTGTTAAAACCACCTTGAATGCGTTGAGAAAAAATAAGAGCAACCCCGAGTCTGCGAAAGAATTATTAATTCAAATGGCAAGACGTTTGAATAAAAAGTAAGCAAACAAAATAGTTTAAACTTATACTCAATACTTTCATAAAAATGTATCTACATAAGTACACTTATATTTTCTTTAAGGGTTCCACCTCCCGATGAACAACATTGGGCACAGCTATTGAATGATATGTTGGAAATTCATGGTTTAGTCTTTTCCTGCGTCGACATAGAAATATGTTTTGAAATCTGTGTGTCAACTCGACTCGTATCAGGCGTTAAGTCCAATATACAAAGTTGCGCAGCACTAATTGAAACCAAGAAACATGAGCAATCTTTATTAAAAGTGCCCTATGAAAAAGCTGTGAACTTAATTCTCGAAGCCAGTAGAGAATATTTTAACAGTTCCAATTCCCTCACCGATTCTAGCATGGAACTCGCTAAGTAAGCATTTGTATTTCATGTGTATTTTTCCTGTAAATTTTAGTTCTTATAAATAATATTATTTCAGAGCCTGTCTTCATCTGATTGAAGACGATAATACACAAATCAAGGAAGAATATGATCTCATCAATTCTCTCCAAATATTGAATGAATTTAAGATTAATATATTACCGCTTCAGGTCAGGTTAATGCAAGACAGGTTAAAGTTAATAGAAGACTGCTTAAATAAACGGGAAGATGCTCACAAAAATCGTCAAAGATTATTAACATTGGCAACTTATCTGCGAATTGAAATGAATAACAGCAGAGCGAGGGAAGGGAAAGTTTTAGAATTGATAGCGAAGAAAGCGTTAGAGGTAAAAAAATAGCTCGAATCTATTACTTAAAATTAAAGTAAAATATATTACTCTCATTTAATGAAACTTCGCAGATTAAAGACTTTAGTGTTTGCGCTGCTACGTGTCAGCAGTTGATGGATAATAATTATATTCCTGCCTGGACAGTTGCTTTGGATTTAGGGTACTGCGACGAGTATAATGATCTAAAGACTAGACAGAAATGTTTATGGTTTGTAATAAGCAAAGGGCCTGACGACATATTAAGCAAAGCGCTGGACCAAATACATTTGATAGAAATACAAATGTTACATAAAGATTTAGAGTTATGGATACCACCTAATGAATCCGTTAACCCTAATGACGCTGATGACGTTGATAGCGAAGAGGAATTCATAGATGCAGTGACCACGGTAAGAAATATACGTATAAAAGTATGATAATTATATAAAGAATCATACTACATTATCTTTCATTTGTAGCCTCAGGTAGAAACAAAAGAATTTGTTCCAAAAGTGTTGGAAGCTTCTACAGATATAGTCAAGACTTCCGCAAATATTATGAAAGTATCAACATTCGGTTTAATAAAAAATATAAGCGATAAGAATTTCTGGAAGTCTAGATTAACGCTTGGTTTAGCGAGTAGCCAAGACAATGACGCAGAATATGATGATCAGGAAAATCATGAGGACGATGACAATGTCCAAAGTTTTCCTTGCTTTTACGAGTGTGTACACGAGAAAGGTAGACTTAGCACTCTGGATACTAAGTACGTAAATTATTCAATGCCAGATATACAGAATACAAAATTGAAATGCTGTCGCGCCTTCTTGAGAATAGCCATGTTAAGCGAATCATCTTGTTATGGCTTGGAAGTGAGCGACATTAATCATTGTACGTATTGCGTGAAATGTTAACTACAATAAATGTAAATCAGATAACGTAAAAAATAATAATTCTCTTGTTTCAGTATTTTTAGAGTGTGCAAAGCATACGATACGGGAAGATTGGTTGTTAGGAATGTCTTATTTATTCAGTACACACAGGAACTGTATAAAAGATACACAGAATCTTTTAACCGAACTACCGCAAACAGAATTGTACATTCAAACTGCAATGTACTATTACTCTTTGGAGTTATACAAAAGATTACATAAGAACATTGAGAATTTATATTTATTTAGTCCACTAAGTTTAATACGGAAAATGATAAATGTAGCAAGTAAAAGTAAACAAACTGAACTGTACGGGGGCTTGAGGTATTGGCAAGCACGTTTGTTTAATGACCAAAACGTAGATGACTTCATATTCTTTGATTCGAAGCAAGTCATTGAAGACAATGGTAATAGGAAAGATTATGAGGGAAGCTTTGAACAAAATAATGATCTCATTGAAAGTTCAACTGCAATCTCTGAAGAATTTAAAGAGGGACAAAAATTGAATGAAAAATCAGTTTCTGAACTTGATGGACGGAAAGGAGTGCAAGACTCTGACGCCAAAGATGAAATGGAATGGACAGACGACTGGGGAAATTTTTCTGACGAGGATGCAGCAGAAGCAACAGAGGACAAACAAAACATTCCAAAACAAAAATCGTACATAGATAGTGATATTTTACTGTCAAAAGAAACTAGCGACTGTGCGACAGAAAAGGACCGCTTTGAAGCATTCGAGAGGGTGTATGATAAAATACAAAGTGTGGATCATTACTATGAAATTAAAGAAATATTATTGAATTGGCCAAAATTTTGCAATCCTGAGTACACAACTGTCGACAGACATCCAATTTTAAAAATGATGAAACTGATTAGTCTATACATAAAAGACAAGGATAAAAATAAGCATAATAAACAAATATTTCAAGAATATAAAGATTTAATGGAAGCCTTATCTTCACTAGATGTAAGTCTAATCAAATAATTTCCTACAAGTTATTAAACAAATAATTACACGTTAATAATAATGACCATTATGATTAACAGACATTTAAAGAATTCTTGAACAAAGAAGAAATTCCTCTAGATCATGCAATTTATATTAGATTAGAGATGGATGATCCAGTACTTCACGAAGAAGCAGTAAATATTCTCAAGGAAAGGCATAAAGTGTGTTTATATTTTTATTTTATAAGTACTAATATTTTATATTATATTTATTAATATATCTCCTATTTTTCGGTTTTCAGGAAATTACGTTGTCGGCGCCAATATTGGAAGCATTATTCTTAAAGAATTTAACAATATCATTTGATCCGAATCACGATGTATACGGACGAATTATTGAGCATGTTCTCGTGAATCAATCTTTAACCGATACAAGAGAAAATGCGGAAATCCTCGTGCAGGAATTAAAGAAAAAAAATCATATATCTCACGCTTTATGTATAATCAAATTGATGGAAGACATACCGCCATCTTTGTGCACATTCGACACTTGTTTTGAACTACTTATGAAAAAATAATCGCTTGTACGGCTGTTTTTACGAGAACTGTGATTTCAATTTGAATAAGAATGTAAATACGCTATAATTTAATGTTATATTATTTGCCAAGTGTGAAAGGCTAGTTAAGAAGAAAGGAAGGAACTTTTTCGATGGATACGGAATTGGCACAAAGCTTTTACTTCGCGTGTATATCGTACAATCCTTTAAAATAACATTGTACATATTTAAAATATTTATTACGCAATGTTCTTTGTAAATATAAATGTTATATACATGATAGAATATATATCTATCTCGAAAAAAGGTATTTGTAAGTTTTTTCTTACCATTTACACCTTGATCTTCGGAAGCGTCTTTGAATGAAACCTCAAAATTTTGAATTTTCCGTTACTCCGCTGCTCGGTGAGACACTGATCTGTTCCCTATGATTTCATTTTCTTAGAAATGAAAATACTACACGCGAAACTATTTGCACTGTACATAATACTTTTCACACTGTTAATGTATACCATTTTTAAAACGCAAGGAAAGGAATAATTTTTAACTTTGCTCCGAACTACGTACTTTTAAAATTGTAATATTACACTATTCGTCGCTGGGTGGCGCTGCAGGTAAAAAAGAAAAATAAAGGTGAATAGAAACGAACCATAAGTACTATATACATATCGCGAGTAAGAGATAAACAAAATGTTGCATCAGTGAATAAGTTAGAGATACAAAAGTGTGGTGTTCTCAGCTATTCTTTTAATGTTTAGGCTGGCAAATTGAATCCCATTGATCTGCGGGAACTTAGAATTTTACTAATAAAATTGTATATAAGAATTAAATACTAATTAATAGAAAATATATCTGACGAAGTAAGATATAATCATAACACGGTTTGTATACAAAATGTGTCCGAAAACATGTCAGTTTAGTACAGAATCATCGCGTCTTATATACTTATAACGGTGTTTGTTAACGGTAATTTATATAAATTTTACTAAAGCGAACTAAAACGTTTTTACTACTTCTAGCAGAGATTATTCTAAAACTAAAACTTAATTAAATTAAAATTATATTAATAAGATTAAAATTAATATTTTGCAAAAGATGTCTACAGCAGTGGAATTGCAAGATTCTTCTAAGAATGAAGAATCAGTAGAAAATACTTTGCACCTCAAAGAACGTGCAGAAAGGAATCGCCAAAAGGCACTGCTTTTAAGAAAATCTAAGGTTGTTGCTCATCCTTACTCCAAAGGGTAATATATTTATTTTTGAGAAGTCTATACTTTTATTTATGCAGAATTTCATAAAACCTTAAATTTTTTAATATATATTTAAAGAGAAAATGGAGATTCAACAAATAAAAGTAGAACAATAAAGGTACAGGGACAACGTGTCATAGACAGTGGAGGTGGCTTTCTTATAGAAGAAAATGATGATTTAGAAGAACAAATGGTAAATTTAAAAACCTATAATTATACAAAACTCAAGATTATTAAGAAACTCACTATGTTGCTTATTACAGTTAAAAATAACAGCACACCCAGCTCCCATTATTACCGATTTACCTCGTTGTGATGATTGTAAGAATGAATTTAATGACTCTTATTTACTGCAGACCTTTAATTTAAGAGTATGTGATATGTGCAGGTAGAATTATTTGAATTATTAATTGATTACTCCAACCGAATAAACTTGTATAATTCATTTTTTATTGTAATAGAGATTCTCAGGGAAAACATTCTTTAATTACAAAAACTGAGGCTAAACAAGAATATTTATTAAAAGATTGTGATTTTGATAAAAGAGAACCTCCATTGAAATTTATTACAAGGAAAAATCCTCACAATACAAATTGGGGTGAAATGAAATTATATTTACATTTGCAAGTGGAAGAGAGAGCGTTGGAAGTATGGGGCTCAGAAGAAAAGTTGATAAAGGAAAAGGAATTACGTGATCTTAAACGCGAAGGAACAAAAATTAAAAAATTTAACAAAAGGGTACAGAATATAAGCAATACTTCAATAATATTCTTAAGTTAAAATAAAAAATAATATCATTTTCAATATTATTTATATCGCATAAGTATTTCTCATTTAATAAAGAATTGTTTTTTTTTGTATGTAGATTAAACAATTGAGAATGCAAGTTAGAAGCTCATTGTATAATAAAACATCGAAAGCTACTCACACCCATGAATTTGGAGAAGACACATACAATGAGGAAGATGATAATTATACACACACCTGCACCACTTGTGGCTACGAAGAAACGTATGAAAAAATGTGAATTTTAGAACTGTTATAAATTTTATTAAAGTATTCCATTAGGCTGTGTTGTACTATAGAATATGTTCTTTTCATATAAAGAAAATTTTTTTTGCATTCCATGCATGCACATTGGAAAAAAATCGAAATTCGTCATTTTTCGTGTCCTTTATTTATCATCTATTTTTCTTATCGTTTTTTCTTTTTCTTAAATACTTTTCATTTGGAATCAAGTGTATTTGTACTCAAATAAAATTTTGTACATCATAATGTGTTTACATTTTCAATGACTTTACTTAGACTTTAGATTATTTAAACATTCAAAAACAAACAATAAATTTACAATTTTTTATTTGCATTGGAATACCATAATTATATATTTATATATACTCTACTATTTCCGGAGAACATTCATTAGTTTGATTGTACTCAGTATATTACATAATGTACAGCCTGATAACATTATCTATTACTGTTACATTATGACGGCCTGATCAATTAAATTACTATATCTAAAAATTAATATTGCACTATGTAGAGACATGTGATCTTGTACGCAAAAATAATCTTTGCACAACGCTAATTTCATACAACCATTGTTAACCGCACAGTTTTCTTTGCAAATTAAGTATACACATTTCATTGCATTCAAAACTGTACACTCTGTCTGCAATGTAAGTCACTTGCATAGTATATTTGAAGTACTTTTACATTTTAGTTTCTATATCACTGTGTTTTCATTAAAATTCTTCACGTCGTATCAGTTTACTTTCCTTTTAGCCCTGTTCCTGCATTGTTAGTATATACATACGTATATTCTTTCACGTGCATAAACGAAACGTTATTTCTTTGGAATATTACGTTGAAGCAGTTGTACGACAATGCGTACGCAAAACTCTACTGCGAGACCAAGCCGGAACCAGTTTACATACGATTACGGCTAAGACTTGTCTACAAACTTCTTACAAACGTTTTGTACAGGGTGTGAAGAAAGAATTGGCACAGTCAGTGTATCTCCCAGTTTAGTTTGGGGGACAGTCAATTCGTTTATTACTGTGGTAGTTGATCTGAAACACAATTCAATATTATTAAAATTGCCTACTTTCAAAGAAGAACAAGAGATGAACATTACTTTTCTATTAGCGTACCTGTTGTGCCTAAGATGACTTTTAACTAAATGACCGGCTGTGAGAGCCGCCATTAGCGATAATTCACCGGCAAGTACTGTGGCACATACAATTCTAGCTAATTTGCTGGCGTTTTCGCCAGGTTGACTGCTGTTGGCGCCTTTGACGCCTAACATAGCCAAGCACGCCCCTTGTGCAGGAAGACCAGTTCCACCTCCAATGGTACCTATCTCTATACTGGGCATCGTGCAAGATACATACAAATCTGTACCGTCCGCACCCCAAGGTTCCATCAAAGTCATACAATTACTACTTCCAACGTTCTGCGCAGGATCTTGACCCGTAGCTATAAAAATTGCAGTGACGATGTTCGCAGCGTGGGCATTGAAACCGCCCACGCTGCCGGCTATAGCGGAGCCAATCATGTTTTTACTTATATTCACATCAACTAATGCATGAACCGAAGTCTTTAGAACGTTAGTAACAACGTCCGCAGGTACCACCGCTTCGCAGACCACACTCTTACCCCTTCCTTGAATCCAATTAACAGCGGCGGGTTTCTTATCTGCGCAAAAATTACCGCTCAGCGATAAAATTTCCATATCAGGAAAATATTCCTTCACCGTATTTAACGATTTCTCCGTGCCCTTGGATAGCATATTCATGCCCATCGCATCACCCGTCGTCGCCACGAAGCGAACGAACAAATGCCGGCCGGCGATTCGTATATGTATCTTCGACAACCTCGCGAATCTGCTGGTCAGGTCGAAATGATCCTTCATCTTCTCGAAATTCTCCGGATCCTGCATCCACGCCATAGCCTCGCTGGCTCTGACGATATTCGGGAATCTTACGACCGGTCCTCTGGTCATACCGTCGGCCACCACGCGACTCGTCACGCCGCACTTCAACAGAGCTCTGCTCCCTCGGTTGGTGGAGGCTACCAAGCACCCCTCGGTTGTCGCCATCGGCACGTGATAGAGTTCACCATCGATCAGCAGCGGACCAGCGATTCCAAGCGGCACCGGCACGTATCCTATAACGTTCTCGCAGCACGATCCCAACACTTTCGAGTAATCGTAGTGCGTGTACGGCAGTTCCGTCAGATCTTCCACGAACTTTCCAGCTTCACCGATTATCAGACGTCTGATTTTTACGCCGCGCTCCATATCCCCTACAGCTTTCTCCAGCTGATAGGCGGCTATGTGCTTGTACTTCACCAACTGGATAACCTCCTCGTCCGTCAGCCCGCTCGCTCCAAGCTGTGAAGATAGGATGATTATAGTGGAAAGGAGTTGTACAATGGAGGATGAATCACCTAAGATCAAAATTTAAAATAGTCTCGTTACTTCCAGCGACGGAATCGATAGCTGTTTGGGAAAGTTGACCCAAATAACACGAATTCGTGGACCTTGGAAGCGTTACAGGTTCTAATCTTAGGTGACTTATCCAACGTGATACGAGTGTCTAGCTTATGGTGAATTGATCTACCTCGGACTTGTATATTTCGAGGCATTCCTCCAGAGGTCTAGGAACCGTCGCCTGCGGAGACGCGCATTCGCTGCCGGACGAGTCTATGCTCGACTGTCTGCCGTCGGTTTGCACCTCTTTGTCAATGAATTCCATTTGAGATTCATTCTCCACCTCGATCCAACCGCCGCCCACCCCGGACAGGGGGAAAATAGCGGGACGCATGGCGGGGTGCGTCTCCTCGAATCGCTGGCGCAACGACACGTCCATGGCGGCGGTGTCCACGAGCTCGGTGTACTCGATCTCGACCTTCTCCTCGGTGTCGTCCTCCTCCTTGAATCGCAGCTGCTTCGCGATGTCGCCTTTATCCTCGAAGAATATGAACTTGATAGCTAGCGCGAGCAGCAGTATCAGTATTATGATGTTATCCGCGCTGACCGACAGCCAGTTCATCAAATACGCCTTCACTTCCGTCTGGTTCTCCGTTTTATTGTACGCGTTCGCTACAATGTGAGAATTCGCGGGCGACACTTTCCCTTCCACCGTGTGGTCGTTTTCATCGTTCTTAAAAGGCCAGCGACTGCAACAATCGAGCATACCGTTTTATCGGCCGATGTTTATATAACTCCCGAAACTTATGAAATGCGTACGTGGCTAAACAACATCGCCTTCGGGCTTATTTAATGGTAGTCAATTCTAATTTCATGTAATCGCCGCTCGGAGAATGCATATACAACGCGAAATATATATCAAAATATGGAAATCGGGCACATAAGTATCGTGTTCGGGTATTCTAGCTTCTTTTCGTTCGCTGCAATACACACAAGGGTACGGTTTTACGTGTAATCATCCCGTATGCTACGCAAAACGGTTCGGATATGATGTACCGTTGGACGTTGCCGTTATAAACGTGCGTCGCAAATATATTTAACAATGAGAATTCCCGGGAATCACGATATAACACGTTACTATATGTGCACGGCGACGATTTACATGGATCGCACGACGAATTTCTATCGCTCACTGTCAACCGACGGCCGATCACCAATACGAACGACCGATAAATCTCGCAACGCCGATCAAACTCTTCCCTGCGAGGCTATCTCCCGGCGAAGTCCTGGGGATCCGCGGCAAAAGAATCGATAATTACCGGCATTCTTAACCAGCTACAGCCGAGCAATACACTGCTTCCTAAGATAGCGACCAAAGGGTTAAGGAGTCCGAACCCCTCCGCGATACGATCTTCTTTCACGGAATTCGCTGTCCATGAATTAAACATGTAGCTATATTACTATGTAATAAGTTGAACCTGACCCGTGCATGTTGGGCACAAGAAAACTGCCAAACAAGAAGTCGACACGTTCGAGTCGTAAAAAGGAACGTACAGACACGGTAGGGGTCGATAAGCGATAACATTCTACGCGGTTCTCCTTCCACGACAGCGCGGTCGCGGTATCTGATGTAAAAAAATATTCAACTCGTTTCAGTTGTAAACCCGACACGCACACATGCAGAAAAAAAAAGAAAAAGGTAATACATGGAGAATTTACAGCAGGAAAATCCGGTACCTGTTGGCGTGCACTACAAATAGGCCGGCGATCATGATCAGCTTGACGCGCTCCACTACGGGATTCGGCTTCTGATCCTCCTCGTTCAACGGATGAATCATGAAGATCTTGTCGGGGCTCAGAGGCTTCATGCTATTCGTCCCGCGAGAAAGCTGAAAGAAACCGATCGCGAAGTGAGATTGTTGCAGTTAATTCCAACTGAGCCGGCGCTCTCGCAGCAGTTCACCGGGCTGCTAATTTTTACGCGAGCTTCTGGTATACTGCGATGCTACCGTAAATTACGCTAAATATTATATTCTCGTAAATACTATTTAACTCGTCTAAAGCGACGCTTCTGTTGACACGTAAATATGCAATATATTACCATTAGATAGTAATTCCTCTAAACCGGTAGTTGTCAAAAAAAAAAGGAAAAACTTGCTATTATGTTAATGCCAGATACGTCCCGCGGACAGCACTCATCATTATCATTTTCTTCTAATTATGTTATGTAAACAGAAAACATACGAACGCGTAGCCGAGCGTTCGAGTTTCCGATAGACTGCACGTACGCCGAACGAAGGTGAGTTTGGTTATTAAACCAAGATTACCTCGAGGATGAGCGATAGACAGGCAGGGTAGAAGGTCATGAAAACAATGTAATTAACGACAATTCCGAGGCAGGCGAAGCCGCATAGGATTTCCAGCCTTCTGACGCCGGACAGGGATCCTATGCTGATGAGCAGCGTCTCGACTAAGGTGTCCAAGGTAATGGTCGGCCCTAACAGAGACATTCCTCGCGCTATGTTCGCTCGTACTTCCTCTTGGCTCCTCGAGCGTAGAGCTAGTTGCGCTAATATCGCGGCCTTGGACAGATCGATGATGAGCAAGAAGAAGAACAGCGCATCCCTGGAAACGAATCGTTTATGCAACTGGAAACAATATGGCCTCTCGAGCTTCCCTTAACACGTTCACACCGCCGTAATTTCCACTCTCTCTCTCAAAATTGATAAAAATATTGAAATAATCGATAAGTAAATTAATTCTCAGCTATATGGCGATGTTCTCTAGTTACCAAACCACTTGAGCCACATATTTGATGCTAAACACTGTCTAATATGATATCTTTCCGTGAGCCACCGGTACACGCCGGCGTGAACGTGTTAATGGCGGTAACTTACTTCAAATCGGAAATGTCGCTGCGTCCGAAATTGACAACGCTCGACGTGAACACAACGCTGGAGAACACGGTGAATAGGCCGGCTATACCTGGCCGGGAACACGGAAATCAAACGTTAATCGCGTACATCCTTAATTACCGGTGCACGCGTGAGCCTCGAGCCGATTCGCGAACAGCCGCGGAGCGGTCGTTAGAAATTCTTTCTCGATTAACATTCATGCGAACGCGATGATTGAAATGTCATCGCGTGTCTCCGCGGCACGGAACGCTGTCGCTTTCTATGGAACTTTCACTGGCATCGAAAGCTTTCACGCGTGCCGCGAGAAGATCCGGGTGTACCGCGCCGCGGACGACAGGCTGCACGTCCGCGGCGCGATTGGAAAGGCGCGGGATGCACCGTCCGGGTGGACCGGAAGCGTCGAGAGCCCGGCTTACCTAAAATGTATTTCGAGCCCAGCTTCTGTAAATTTCGAAACTGATGGTAGGTGAACAGTATTGCGAGACATCGTATTATGGTCATCACGATGATATCGGCTGCATTTAAGTCCTGCCGAATGAACAGATATCGTACGTTTAATGGTGTCGTATATTCATGCTCGTAAACAGCGCGGCGCGTCGTAGAAGCTTTTTTTCTTAAGGATCTGGTTATCCGAATCAGCAATTCAAACGAACGGATATTAACCCGGCGCATACAAAGGGACCCGCGGCTCGCGCGTGGAATGCCATAACGCGGCGACTATTATTTATTTATTGCTCGGCGTCGCGCGCGAAAAAAGCCTGACCTCGAACCCTCGCTGAATTCCCGGTTCATCTTAAGCGCGGTTCAAGCTCGCGTCCTGTCGCGTTTCGTCTTTCCCGCGGATAGGAAACGGGTTCCCGTTATTTTTCGTCGAATATTCAACTCGCGACGGTTTCGGGACAGACGACCGTAGCTTCTCCGACACGCCGATGTCGATGACTTACGTCCGAATTACACCGGCCAGCCCGACAGTGCGAGGACACAGGAAGAGCTTCGTCTCGCGGCTGCCCGCTTTCGGTCTCCATGTTCAGGATGCACGCCGTCAGCGTGAACGTGGACACGATCACCTCCAGGGGGTGGCCGGCGCAGAACCGGCCGTGGATCTCGAACAAACGTGCCAGCATGGCTCCTGTTCTCGACTATCTACAACCTGCAACAGTCAATCGGTCGTTTGTGCGTTAACGCGATGGTATTCGGGGAGACTCGTACGATCTCGGTAACGGAACTCCTCGAAGTTCATGAATCTTCGTATCTTCTCTTATTTCTATTGTAAATTCATTTTTATTAGAAAACCTGGGCTGATAGGTTGCTAAGAGGGTGAATCTCCAACTTCTTGGCACTTTGACTGAAACTAATGATACCATTGTTCTCAGTAATACTCAAACGCGAGTCACTTAATCCTTTAAAACAGGTTCTCCATACATCGCGACGTGATAACAAAGCCACATCATCTTCGCAGCAAAAACGTTGAAATGTACAAAGTTGCGAGCACGATGCACAGTTTGCATGAAAGAGAAAATTAGAGACCGCGATTTATTACCTACGATTCCACAGAATCCCGATTACTCATCGTTTCAGCTCGAAGCACCGAAATTATCGTTCACCAAACAAGCCGGCCGAGTGTTTGCGAGTGGCCGGGTATCGGTACGCGGAACGGTTTCATATCGCGCGCGATAAGTTCCGCGGCCGGTGCGCGAGGAAAACGAGAGTGCGCTCGGCGAACCTGATGAAAGTGGTCGCCGTCGTGTTCGGCCGGCGAGATATTCGGTGAAATCGCCGGGGAAAACTCGCCGGATAGTCCCACTTTAGCGTTTCGTGGCGGGAGAGGAGCGTGCCGGCCGGCGCGCGGGCCCGAGGAAGCTCCTCGGTTTGGGGAAAGCGCGCGGAGGACCGGTTATTGCGGCACGACGCCTCTGCCGTGTGTCAATAATGCTCCATATAGCCATAATAACCTTCGATTGCGCAATGGGAAATCGACACGTGGGCAACGGAGCCTCGGTTTCCGTCGATGAAACCGGAATCCCGTTTCTACCGGAACACTCGGCTCTCGCCGGCCGGGTGGAGGATCCGGGCTTGAGCAACGCGATAATCGACACCTAACGTTCCATCGCCGAAGGCGCGGTGACACTGTCTAAATATAATCACTTTTCCCTCTAACGATAAACAAGCAAAAAACTTGCGACATGTTATACGTAGAACAGGGAAAGAAATCGTAGTCGCAAGAAACTGTCCGCTGGCGGTTTCTAATAAGATGTCACACTTTCGACGATCTTGTATTAACTTAACGCACAGTTTCTTTGAGAAAAACCGGCCAAAAGAATCAATTTTGATACACTGTGCTTTTGTTCCATGGAATAGGGCTGTATTTTATTCTTGAATAAATAAGTGTTGTAGCTTACAAGCCCGTGTAAATGATAAATATCGATAAAACGATTTTTTTTTGCTTTCACATTGTTATTTTCACGGTTTGGACTGTTTAGCGCAATTGGATTAACTCGAGCGTGCAAGTTAAGGGGTTGAAAGGGAATAACGAGGGTTTTCCACGCGAAAAGGAGAGAGACGAAGTTCGCGCGATCATTTCGGAACGATGCGACGGTTTCCCGTCGTGAACATTTGGCCTTAGAGGTGCGATCTTTGCTCTTTCCGAGTAGACGAGGTGGGCGTCACCAGAGGAGAACGAAGGTTGATCCAAGGTGGATCCCTATGATCGCTTTCTACGCGTACTACGGAGTCTAGTTTCTTTTCCCGGGGAACATCTGACGGTTTAACCTCTTGCCCTACAACGAGTGAAACTCGTGAAAATTTCCAACATGATTCAACAAATATATGTATGACTCAGTTCGTTCGAATTCGAAGTAAATATTATTCTTCTGTAATCAACTATTGTACTTCAAAGGAAATATAGGAATAACATAAGCTTTTTCCAATAAATGATCAATGACAAAGTAGCTGTGTCGATCAGAGTTGAGAAAGAGATAATAGACCAAAGGGTTAACCCCTTGTCCTACGAGACTCGTGAAAATTTTCAATATGATTCAACAAATATATATATGACTCAGTTCGTTATATATTCCTCTGTAATCAACTATTATAAAGGAAATATAGGCATAACATATGCTTAGAATTTTTCTCTTTTTTCAATAAGTTATTAATGACAAAGTAGCTGTATCGATCAGAGTTGAGAAAGAAATAGGCTAAGAGGTTAACACTGAAACTACCAGAGGGGCCAAATGACCCATGCCTGATGTCTTTTTGCAATCATTAGAAAAGTAGCAAATATTTCTCTGAGAAATTATTAAAAAAATTCACTCAGCACGCAAATTCAATTATAAATCGAATAACCCTTGCCGTACAATGACGAGTGAGACTCGTGATGAAGGTTTCTCGACTAATTTAACAACAATCGATGTTATTCACTACCCTCGGATCAAAGCAAACTATCACCAATGTATCATCTTCAAATGAAATTTCCACCTGAAGTAGAATGGAAAATTTTGTATTTCTTACAAATGATCGATAGTAAAATATTACACGAGCTTAATAACGAAAGTAAATACGCCAAGGGGTTAAAGTCTGAGCAGATGCGCTCTTGGAGTTTCCGCAGCGAAATTTCAAAAGTCAACTGAACTGCTCGGTAGTTTCAGCGTTAATCGACGCAATACAAACAATCCTAAGCCGAGGCGGTCCGCGATGATCCGAAGAGCTCTCGAAAACGTGGAGAAGGTTAATGAATGGAGATCCTCGCGCCAAGTAACCCCTCCGAGGCTGGTTGGCACACCGACGCGTCGATAGCGTCCGAAGTCACGCAGCGAGAATATTCCGCGCGCACGTTCATGCGCGTAAATCGGCAAGGAGGCGAGTTAATTGAACGTCGAACGCTAGCCGCGGGCACGAAATGTTTGTCAAGGTCGGTAACTTTCCAAGAGCTCCCGGGAACATTTCTATACTCGACTGACCACTGACCTCTTCTTGCTTTCAATGGAGCCGCCGCTGAAAGCGCGGCCGCCTCGTTATCTCTTCGCGATGGCATTGTCATTTAAATAAATACGCGTCGAAACGTTTCCGGAATCTCGGCATCCTCGCGCAGATTATCCTCGCGGATGAATATATAAATGCGACCGGCCGGGCAACGGCGAGGCATTGAAACGTGTCGTAAGCGAGCGACGCTTCCCCTTTGAAATAGATTCTTTTCACAACGCCATTATGTGTACGTCAAGTGTTACGTATTGTTCGATAGGTTCTTCCGTCCCCTGCGAGATTGTGTTATCAGATTATGAATTTCAAATGTAGATTTCCCTCGGTCGCTTTGACAAGCGCCGGGTCAGACGGAAGGAACTTTGCCAATACTTGCGCCTCTGGTTCAACGAAAGTTTAAACGTTGCCGAAACCGTTGGAAACATTTCAGCTGCGGACGAGGATCCTTGAAAACGATTGGCGCGCGGGGAATGGACACTTTCGGCCGAACAACGTTAACACTAGAGCTACCGAGCGTTTAACACCAGGTTTACGGAACGCGTCGATTTGACGCGGATTGAATTTTATAAACATTCGGTAAATGTTTTAATCGGTTTTCGTTGATCCAATTGCACGAATATGAATCCTTATTGTCTATTTCTATGTCTACAATTTCCAAAATCTAAATGAACGAATATCAACTTCCCAGGAACAATAGAATAGACTGTACAATAAACTCCCGTAAATCTAATGTTAATACGATTAATATGTGATTCCTATAAAAATTGTAACAATAGATTATTTTCAGTTTCTTCAGACATTCATTATAGTGGAACTATTTATTTTCAAAGTCATTTCGAATATTCAATGCTTCGAAGATATCATGATTGCGAAATAAAAAGATCGAAACCAGTCATTTTGACTGGTACAGTAGTGTAGTGTTAAGCTCCATAAGGAGCGGCGCGTTTCGCAGGACATCCGAGCAAGGATTTCGAAACCGTCGCGGTACTCTCGAATGTCAGCTGGCCGACGTTCGTGCGTGGTTTGTTCGATGCACAATCCCGAAAGCCGGTCACGTTTCAAAATAAAGTATCGGCGCGTTGTATATTTGTTGTGTAAATGCCCCGCGGATTTCCCGGATCGCCGGCGGAACCGAGAATAACCGGCTGTGACCGTGGTCCCTTCCGATCAACCGGAAACGAACCCGTTGCCATCTTTCAACCGCATCAACGTGTGCCGCTTTCATTCGATAGCGATTGTCAACTGAGCCGTTCATTTGGCAAAGCGATTAACTCTAGTATTAAATAGAAACGCTTGGGAAATTGCATGAAACGACTTGTACAAAGAACTAATCGAAACCAACGCTACGATTCGAGAACATTTCATAGTGCAGTTGGTCACTTGCAATTAGAGTGTGAAGAACTAATCGAGAGTTTTAATATTTAAATTGAGGGACATCCGAAAAGTGGAGTCGGTCACTTGCAGTTAGAGTATGAAGAACTAATCAGTAGGTTTAACATTCAAATTAGGGGACATCCGAAAAGTGGAACTAAGCAGTTGCAATTAGAGTATGAAGAATTAATCAGTAGCTTTAACATTCAAATTAGGAGACATCCGAAAAGTGAAGCTAAGCAATTGCAATTAGACTATGGAGAATTAATCGAGAGTTTGAACATTCAAATTCGGGGACATCCGAAAAGTGGAGTTAATCGCTTGCAATTACACTACGAAGAACTAATCGAGAGCTTCAACATTCAAATTAGGGAATATTCGAAAGGTATAGAAAATCACTTACACCATAAAAACCCAATCAAGCGTTTCCGCGTTCGAAAGCCTTCGAAAAGTAGAGCTAATCACTTCGACCAGTGAACAACTGGACTCGATTCCGGCCGATTGTAGAGCAAAAACAGCAGCAACGAGAAACGTGAACGTCAGCACCATGCCACGATAATGGCGTGTGTTTTTTTTTCATCCGAAGACGACAATCTCGAATCACTCCGGCGACCTCTTTCCAGCTAGAGTTCTTTTCCTCCGCCGATTTATCGCGAGGAGAAACAGAAAGCAATAAAAACTCTCGACGATCATGTTTTCGACTATTTTTAACCGTCCGCCGGCTCTCGATCAACGGTCGGCGCTGAAATACCCCCGAAGGAGTTCTTTAGAATTGGAACGATGACCTTGAAAATTTTCAACAGCCGTTCACTTCCTCCAACGCCGAGGATGTTTCGGTACACGCTTCACGCTCGCGAATCCGACCGCTCCGATCCGACGCGCCGCGTCTTTCGATTCCCTTCGCAGCGATCCTCCGCGCGGCGACATCGTTTTTCCCCAATCGATTACACGCAGATGAGCTCGGCGTGCCTATAATGAATTACAACGTTCAATGTAGATCGTACGGCGAAGTCGACTGGATATCCTAAATGCATAAAATTAAGAGCCAACTGGGTCACCGATACCATTAACACGTATATCATTGTATGCTCCTGCGAGGCAACGAAATGCGACCGATGAAATCTATCGTGCTCCATGCCTCTCGATGAACGAAGCTCTCTCACGGACGCGTGGGCTCTCGAGGAACACGCGAAGAATAAAGGAGCGCTTGTGTCGAAAACCGAACGGCGCAGGGAATTCTTCGGCGGCGGACGAAGGATCGATTCGTAAACATCCAGTCTGAAATTCCAAACAGAAAGATCACTGAAAATCATTCGCGCGGCCCGATCGAAGGCTGCCGCGAGAAATCGGAATAAATTACGCGGAGTATCCGACCCGGGGAACGCGCCGGTGAATCGAAAGTCGGGAGAACATCTCTGAATAATCGATTACACGGGAAAGTTCTCTCGTTAGTTGTGTTTATCCGTGTACGATTAATACCGGTCTCGTCTATTTCTCCGATGATCGGCTTAATTTCGTTACAATACCTGCGAGCGATAAGCGAATTGTACTCGTCTATACAAATGTGGAGCAACTCCGGGGATTAACTTCGTTCAGCACCGGCGTCTCTGCACTGGCACAAGCGACTACGTCTCACGATTAACCACGAATATATTACTTTTCATAATTGCACGATACAAAGAGCAATCGGATTTCTCGACGACAGGCGTGACAGGTAAATTGAGACGATCCGATGGCAAACAACTCGGAGAAAAACTAACGAATCAATCTGCATTGTCGAACCTTTCCAGAAGTTACGTCAAGAACGAACGAGCGCACGAGCCACCGGAGCTAATCAGCTGAACGAATCGACGGAAAAAATCGCCGTTCGAGCGAACAAGAAAACGATCCCCGCTGGCGGGCGATTAACTGATGCAACATTGGGTAACGAAGAAAGGAGCGCGCTCGGAATGCATCGGACAAGTCACGCACGATAACGCTCGCGACGAGACCACCGCTGTCGGCGATCGTTCGCGTTTTATTATCGAAAACTGCTCGAAGATGAGGCAACGCGGAATGAATTGTCCAATTACGGTCCAACGTCCCGGGAATCCCGGCGCTGCATAATTTCCGGCCGACGGTGGTGACCGTGCAGCGAAAATAAACGATGAGGGCGCAAACGCGTCGTCCTTCGGACGCGGGAAGGGACAATTATACAGGGTGAGTCTCCTGACATGGCGACCTCGAATAACTCGTGAGGTATTCGTTGTACGAGAAAATGTTTCGAACGAAAGTTGCATGGTATGTAGGGAGACAGTGCTGTAATCTGTTTTTTACTACTTTACTTTTCTATTGAGATATTAGGGTCACCGTCAGTTTTGTAAATGGAACGTCTAATATTCTTCGAATTCGGATAAATCAAATTTTGCGTAAAAGTCCGAATTTGAAAAATATTAGACGTTCCATTTAACACTTTGCTATGTAAACACTCATTGAAGTATCTATGTAATCAGAACAGTTTTCTTAATGAAGCAGAAACTAGAGTCAAGATTCTTCGTAACGAATACTTTACTATTTTTCTTATATCTCATAGAAACTTAATTAACTCCAATAAAACTTAGTTCGTTCGATACCAAGAAAATGAATGTTCAAGGTTACGTTAAAAATGGTGTCATTCATATTCGGGTGACGTGGCAGTCAAAGTGTTAAAAGACTGAAGGTGACCCTAATATCTCAATGAAAAAGTAAGGTAATAAGAAACAGATTAGAGCACTGTCTCCCTTAGATACCATGCAACTTTTGTTTGAAACATTTTTTTCGTACAACGAATACCTTACGAGTTATTTGAGGTTTTTAGGAGACTCACCCTGTATAAACCGTGGGTGTGCAACTGTTTAGGTTGAATAGACCACATTGAGAGACCTAGAAATTCTCTTAGACCGCATACGAGTGTTTCTAAAACTTTCTGACTGCAACCGGACGCTATTAGCGTCTGAAAGCTTGGACGCGGAAGCATATGGGGTGGACCGGGACGAGTCGCATCGTCTTCTGTTTGGCAATAAAAAACTAAGACTGCTAATTTCGATGCGTATTTCATTTCCCAACGGGAATTTCAATTTGTCAAACGAACTCCGATGCAACCCCTTGCGGACGAAGATTCTTCGAAACATAGAAAACCTTCAGCAGGTAGATCTAACATATCAATTGCTTAACCCTTTGAACTCTGTAGGCTCCAATATTACCAGTTATAACATCAAACATTTTAACGAATCAAAGGAACTACCCTAAAATTATTAGATTTTCCAAACATCCAAATTTTGTACTGAGAGGAAAATAAATCGAAGGAATGTTATAGCATCTTTCATTTTCACTAAAAGTACCATAAAAATTAGTTGCAGTTTCTGATAAATTATGAAACCATCTGGAGTGCTAAGGGTTAACACACTGAACGCCGCACGATTTCATAGAGCAAAATACACAAAATGGAAGAAATATAATATTAAATCATTTGTTTGACATTATTATTATTGCACATAGCCGAATGGCACCGCATCAGGTAGCATTATTTATAATATAGAAATGTTTCCAAGTAATCATCGTTTAACTGAATAAACTATAGTAATTCGATTTGGTTGTGTCACCGGTGACCAATGGCATTCAACGTGTTAACCCTTTGCACTCGAAAGTTTTTCACTTGAAGTATTCTATACCTTCTAATTAGATGTAGACAACATTCTTTAAAATGAATTTAACAAGAAATCATATATAAATTAAGTACCAAAGCTATTCCTTCAATATTTCACGTATTCGTGCAGTATACAAAGGTTAATGGTAAATAAAGTTTATAATTTTGCTGTATCAAATCATCTGCCTAGGAGTCGCCTCTCGAGTCAAAGGGTTAATAGAAAAAAGGGAACCACATGATCCCTTGCTATTGAAGTAATTCAATCATTCGCAACTTAGTCTTCCAAACACGAAAGCTTCGTCTAACTGAAAGGTCAACATTCGTTCAAACCATCGCCTCTCGAGTGCAAAAGGTTAATAGAAAAAAAGGGAACCACATGGTCCCTTGTTATTCAAATAATTCAATCATTCGCAACTTAGTCTTCCAAACACGAAAGCTTCATCTAACTGAAAGTTCGACATTCGCGAAGGGTTCAAACCGTGCTAACCTCACGCACCCGTGACGTCACTGGTTTCAGCCCGCGGATTGGTCACACCTGGCGAACCCCTACGCCCGCGAAATCCACATTCGAATCGACATCCCCGACGAGAGGCTCGCGTCTCGCTCGACGCGAGACGGCACCGTCGCCGACTCGCTGGATCGTTTAATTACATCTTAAAAATAGTAACGACGAAATGCGGCCGGGCGTACCTTGCACAGGTGCACAGGTGCACGGTAGTGGGAGTCGGCTCGTGCTCTTGACGTACGGTTGCGCGCACGTGGTCCACGTAACGACGGATTCGAATCGTTCGTTTTTGCGCCCGCTCCGGACACGATCGGCGAAAAAACCCGTATAAATAATCGCGAGCAGCGATAACGCGAGCAGAGTCAACCGCGCTCTACACGGAGAACGATCGGAACAATTTCGCGCATCTTTGTTTGGCCGACGTTTACGTAACTCCGGGTATCGTAACGATTTCTTTTCGTCCGCGAGGAAAAAATACCCTCGTGTCACGACCCGACCACGACTCGACGTGCCGACCGGGAAGTACCTTCTCTTTTTTTCTGTCACTCGGCGAAAAGAGAAAAAATGCGGTACACAACGACACCGGCAGCACGGCGCTCGCCGACTAAAGAAACTGCGCTCACGCGCTGGCGAGCCGATCGACCCTTCAGACACGCGCGATCGTCTTTTTTCGCTGCCGCTCGGCTGTCCCCGCTCCTCCCGATCTCTGTCTTTCTCCCGCTCGCTCTGTCGTTGACAGAAGACAGGGCCACGTGTTTCCCTAGCGCCTTCGACGACCCTGTCGTTCGTGAGACCCGGAATTGGTCCCACCGTTCACGGTGCGCTAACGAAAGAGAGAGAGAGAGAGAGAGAGAGAGGGAGGGAGAGAGATGTTACCCGATTAAACCGGTCGTATCATCGCAGCTCGCGCTTCTGGTTCGCCCCTCGAGTCTCGCGAGGATGATAAAGGAGCTTCTGCCGCCGGCTCATTCGCATTCGCACGCGATCGAGTGCACGTGAATCACGTGTCTCCGATCGCTGCCAAATCGGTGAATGAATCAGACGTCAGAGATGCGGCAGTGATGTCGGTTTTTACTCGCGCACGTGTCGTTAACTGATTAATCGCGGAGAAAGAAGTTGCGTGAGTTTAAATAACTCGCGGAGATTATTCAGGGATAATTTTAACCGTGATTCGTCTTTAAATGTTAGCTGCCATCTCCTGCCGTCACGCTGCTGGGAAATCTCGTTTTCATATAGACACTTAGATATGCAACTTCGTTAATTACCACTGCATCGAGAAAAATATAAAATTTCATTCGAATTGATTATCTGTTTAAAATATATTACATAACGATATATCTGAGTTTTTCTATGGATATATGAGTTGACCAGCGAACATTGCATTTAGGCGACAGCTTGAATTGAACTGTAACTACAACCTCCTCCGTTATCCTCAATTGAACTCATTCGATTAATTTGGTTAAAAACCGTGTTTTGCAGAAACAAGAATAAAGGAATTACTACTTTAAGACTTACTGAACAACGGAAGAAGACAGAGTAAAAGGCGGTACGTTGCTAAGTGAAAAGTGGGAGATCTCATTCGGTTGGCCAAGTCTTAACGCATGCCACCGATGAGACCGTCACCGGCTAGACACCGTAGAAACTATGATGCCAAATCGCTAATAATTCGTTCTAATACAATTTGTCTTTGTTGTGAAAGCTGGTGATATTACACGATACGCACGAAATTCTTGCAGTGGTCAAGATTCTTTGAAATGTACGAAAGCGTCGACAGATGAAGCTAAATTATGCATGAATCGCTTAAATAATAGCAAAAACAGAAGCTACACGCTATCTTGCAGACGAAGATTCTTTGAAACGTACAAAACCGTCGACAGATGAAGCTAAATTATGCATGAATCGCTTAAATAATAGCAAAAACAGAAGCTACACGCTATCTTGCTATTCGAATAATTAAATCATTTGCCTGCCTTAGTCTTCCAAATACGAACGTGTCTCGCCGAAATGTCGACATTCGTCGCAAAGAGTTAAGTCTTCAGCTGAATCTCCCGAACGGCGCGTGAGAATTCAATGTACGGAGCGACGCGCGACACCTTGCGAAATGTGATAGCTCGGAATCGAATTATCAGTCGACGTAACACGGACGGGCTGCCGTTTGAACGATTAATGAAGATCCTCGGAACGGTTCTTGTCGGAAATCGTTATCGCAGGACTCGCGAGCGGATTAACCGAGCGGCAAGCGGCGCGATGGCGGTTCCCCGTTACACTAAAAGTGTAGAATCAAATCAACTTTATATATTCGTCTTCCTTTTAATTTACTTTTGTTATTAACTGCTTAGGAATGGAAAAACGATCGCGCTGTTTACAATCTTTCCATGTAAAAATAGAAGAGCGTCATTCAGTTTCTGAAACGGAAGCGCGATCGCTTGCCACTTTTCTCTTGCTTGAAATCTTTCGTTAGAAATATTCAACGTTTTCCGATGAATTACAGACGACGTTCTTTGAAACGAACTGAACGAGAGGACATAAGAAACAAAGTTATTATTTCAATATTCCACATATTTATAGCTTACGCGGAACTTAACGTTGTAAGACTTTCTAATTTCGGTATATCAAATCGAATGTCACCTCTCGAGTGAGCAGAGTATTAACTCTTTGCACTCAGAAGTATTTCATTAGAAATACTTAACATTAACTAGACAAAAACGATGTTTTTTGAGATAAATTCAAAGAGGAATCACAGGTAAATTGAGAAACAAAGCTTTTTATCCCAATATTTCACGCACCGATGCATTACACATAGTCCAATATTAAATATCAAATCTTATAATTTTGCTGCATCAAATCAAATGATGACTGAGTCACCTGTCGAGCGCAAACTGTTAAACACAGGCTGCTCGAAGGATTCGCTGTTGCGTCGAGCGGAGAGATCGGCATTAAATTCGAACGTTCCGACGCTCTCGACCGGTGATCTAGGATACATCCGCCGGATCCTAATGATCTCTTTCGCTCGGCGAGCACCGTTGTTGCGCAGATACCTCGAGTTTCCGTTCGACATCGAGCAGCAACAATGATTCATTGTCGGCAGTCGTTAAGCCCCGCGCGGCATCATGCAAACACTTCGCGGTTACATTGTCGCCGCGAGTTGTATAAATTTAAATCTGGGTGTCTCGCCGCGTCGTAGACGATCGCGAATGCAGCGGGAAAGCTGAGACATCGGAATCACGGTTTTTCGAGTTCCATTACGACAATCTTCGAACCCCGCGGTCGAAAGTTTTCCGCTCGGCACCTTCAAAAATAGAATCCACGAATATTCGAGCGGACCGACAGCTCGACGATCCTTCGCGATCTCCGGATGAATGAAATTTTATACCGGAAAATTGATCGTTTCGGCTGTTACAGATCGTCTAACATCGATCGTTCTATCGTCGTTCGGTGATCCGGTTACTAAAGCTGCGGATGCCACGGTAGTTATCGGCCATCGGCAATGGTACGTTCTAAAATGGAGTAGGCGCGTGCTATCAGCGGCTAACGGTGAACCGTTACACCCGTTGGCAATGCAGCTTTCGCAACTTCTACGAGCGCTAGCCTGGGAATGCAGTTAAACGGTGCTTCGCGAGATGCTTTTCAATTTTCAACGAATTCGAAAGTCGGCTGCGCGCGGCGCACAATGGCTCGACCCGTTTCCCCGGTTCCGAGGGCACGAGATTTTCCGCGCAAAATCTCCCGGAAACCGCCCACGCCTCTCCCTATTCCCGCGGCTACATTGTTACGCGTGGCGTGTAAACAAAGCAGCTAATAGATTTGCATAAGGTGTTCTTGAAACGGCGAAGAGCGGCTCGTGATCGGTTGCGAAACTCCGTTCCGGGCAGAAATTAACCCTTTGCACTCGAGTGGCGGCTCTTGGAGACCGCTTGATTTGATACAGCGAAATTATGAAGTCTTGTGTATGATATTACACTTTGTGTAATGCATCGATAGATGAAATACTGAAACAAAATAGCTTCGTTTCCTAATGTATCGAGAAATCTCGTTTTTATATAGACACTTAGCTATGCAACTTCGTTAATTACCACAGCATTGAGAAAAATATAAAATTTCATTCGAACTGATTATCTATTTAAAATATATTACATAGCAATATATCTGAGTTTTTCTCCAATGTTTTTCCAAAGTTTTTTTAACTAATTAGCTGGTTCCAAAAAAAATGTTGAATATTTCTAATGAGAAGCTTCCGACCGGGGAAGATGAATAATTAAGTTCAGAAGTCAATGCGATTGAGTCCATTTCTTGATACATTCTGATATTTGTAAATTTTAATAGAATAAATAATATTCTGTTTAGTTATTAAAAGATTCACCCTTCTTAGTTTTTTAGGCTCAAACCTTTTTATAGCTTCTGAATACGTTGAATTAATTCAGGATCCAAAACGTTAATTTTCTCAATTTTTGTTTTCTGTACTTAACCACATTGACCTATGAACTCTTAGCATTCCAGGTTGTTTTATAATCTATCAGCAACTGCTAATTTTTATAGTATTCCTAGCGAAAATGAGAAATGCTATAACATTTCTTCGATTTTTATTTTCCTTGTTAGTACAAAATTTGGATGTGTGGAGAATCGAATAATTTTAGGGTAGTTTCTTTAACACTAGCTTTACGGAACGGATCGATTTGACGCAGATTTAATTTTATAAACATTATTTGGTAAACGTTTCAATCGGTTTTCGTTGATCCAATTACACGAATATGAATCCTGATCGTCTATTTCTACATCTACAATTTCCAAAATCTGAACGAATATCAACTTCCCCAGGAACAATAGAATAAACTGTACAAATGCCCGTAAACCTAGTGTTAAGATTTATTAAAATATTTAATATTATAACTGGCGCAATATTCGAGCCTACAGAGTTCAAAGGGTTAAAACACGGTGGTTCTAAGTAAGGGACGCGAGGTGCTCGACTCGTTATGCTTCCCGAGCCAACTAAAAAGAAATTGTTTAGCAATGCTACTCTTTTTCTATGGTACTCTTTATAAGCAAAAGGGGGCCGCATTTGCGCCACGCGAGCGCACGTCACGGAACAATTACAAAACGCACACGGCGGTATATGTATATTGAAATGGCAGCTTTAGCCGGAATCGGTTCGCAGCTGGCTTCGGACGTGGCTTATCCTTCCCGGAACTATTTTAAATACAAGCGAAGCGAGCAGCCTTGGTTCAGGGAAGTTCCCGAAATCGAAATCACGCGGACGACGGAGCTCGCGCGAATTCGGCGGTTGGCCTGCGTTACGTGATAATAATCACGATCAGCCAATAGAACGACGCGCGAGAGACGAACTTCTCGTGCCACAGAATATTCTTCGAACAGAATAATAATATCGAACATACGTCACGGGGAAGAATTTCGATCGAACCGTTAACCGGCCGAAATGAATCAACCGATTTTTCACATTTACATATGCCATTCTAATGACAGCGATTCCGCCAATGCTAATAACTGCTCAATCAACGTTTCAACCGTTTATCTTGAAAGTGACTTAAGCCCACTTGAAAAAGATTAAAGAACCTTCAAAGAATAAATAGATTATGCAGAATTGCAACTATTA